TATAGGGTTAGATCTCTGCCACAATTCTGCGCGTGAAAGATCATATTTTGAGCACACAAAAAGTGCATTTTGCACGCGCGCAATCTGAGTTTTGTGGAGAAAATGTTCGTTTCGCAAAGAAAAAGTATTTCGAGCGCACTAAAATCAATTTTGCATTTAAAATAAGTTTTTGGATGTGTGCTTTTGCGCATGCAATGTTTTACTAGCTTGCTCCCTTGATGCCGGCCTTCAGTGCTCTCTAAATGCTGACGGCTGGCTTGCTCAACACAACCCAGTTACAATATGCCATAATTCCAGCCAATCGGAGACGAGGCTGCTAAATTCTGATTGGCTGCCTTGACAACCAATCACAACATTCCTTGCATTGCTGATGACAGCGGAAGAGGGAAAATACAGTGCATGCATAATTATTATGCAAGTTGATATTCTGATTATATTTTTTCCAAGCACATTTTACCAATTCCCAACAACATCAATCTTAATAAATACTATTAATCTTGTATTTAATCATCTATAACCTATATATTATTGTTCATGAAGGCTGGAAGTGAAAAACGGCCTTATATTCAGGCGTGCATAATTATTAAGCAGGTTATCTTCTACAGATAAAATCTCGAGATGGACTAAAAATGAACTCCCAAAACTTACTGCCAGATTCTGGAAGATAAATTCTTCAAACAGTGATACACAAGAAGATGTGGAGCGTCACACCACGTGACAGTGATACCTGAGTGGTGAACTAATTTTCGGCAGCCGAAATTGCGGTGCATCTCTAATTATTGGCGACATCAGAAATGGATATTATATAATAGATGCTTTTTTGAAAATTTTAGCAATTTAAAAATATTAAAAAAGGATTTTTTACACGGCACCCCTGCTCTCCACAGACGGCACCCCGGTTGGGAAACACTGGATTAAAGGCTATTTGCGTCATTACATCGACTAAAACATAAAAATACACACAGAGAGAACAAAAACAAAATGCTACAGTTTATTTTCCGTGAATGTAGCCTACTTTTCATTTTATTCTTATAAAAGTACACTTTTACTTTTATTTTATTAAAAATAAAAGTAAAATTAATTTTATTAAATTATTTTTTTCTTTTTTAACACAGACGTGACGACACCCATAAAAATAAAAACATAAGATTACACAAAATAAAAAAATAAAATAAAGCTGCTGAAGTGTTGTTTTTAATAAAACAAATATCTACATAAACAAGCCAACTATTCATTGTACATTTTTTATTGTCAAACTGTGAGAATCCAATATAACAGACACACGATTTAAAAACATCGTTATATTTACATTTTAATTTGACATAATTTCACTATGAAATATATATTGTTAGGCTATTATACATTTTTTTTGTAAATATTTTTATACAGACACATGCCATTTTATTTCCAAATGGTCAAACATTTAATTTCATTAAAGCTGTTGAAGTGTTTATAATAGAAACACATATATACAGCGCAACACAAGACGTGCAGCTATTCATCGTAATTTTTTTATTGTCAAACTGTGAGAATCCAATATAACAGATTTAAATTCATTAACTTGATTTCAATTTGATGTGTTATATTTACATTTTAATATGATATCTTAATTTTAACTTAACTCTAAAATCATCAGTTACTTTCTAACTAAAATAAAACCTTAAATCTAAACAGTCGGTGATATCTCTTCCCTCTAGCGAAGTTATATCTTGTGAGGTCATAGGCCAGCAGGGTAATCAGTAATGAGAATGAGTTCAAACGCCTCAAACCCATCATGGCTACTGGTCTTGGCGAGTTTCTCCGCAGTTTAAGACGAGGCCTTGTGCAAGGTGAACAAAATTCACCTGCACGTGGAGATACTCAGGTTAGGGAATTTGCTCGTGTGAGAAGGTAGGCAGTCGAGTCGCGTTGGAGGTTTAAACAATACTTTGGGATACCAATTAGACAATGACACACTTCATATAGGTAGACTGAAAGTTTATTTTTCATTTGTCATAGGCGGAGAGATGACACCTCCATGCCGACTCCTTTGCAACGTGAACCGTGTAAAACTCGGCCTGTGTTTGAACTTTGCGCAAAGGGCAGCCATGGACGTTATATGGAGAGGCAAGTTAATCCACGTGTAAATATTTAAGTTTGCATAAGATGTATATTATTGCATATAGTACAGCAAAGCTGGACTGCATGTTATCTGTCCATCTTAGATTGCCTTCTGAGATCATCTTGAAGATCTTTTCCTTTCTGGATGCCTTCTCTCTGTTCAACATCAGCTTTGTCAACAAGCAGTTTCATGATCTGGCTAACAGCAAGTGAGTTCATGATATAAATATTTTGAATAAGGAATATTATATATTAACATGGACGTCCAGTGCGTTGTGGTCTGTGTTGTATGCTTCTGAGATTGAAAAGAAAATGTGGAGACCCCGAGTAAGCATGATTAAAGAAGCTGTGAGCAGCACAATTGTGGAGGAGAAGCCTGCTGGATACTGGAAGAAGCTGCTGCTCAAGGAGATGGCCGGCTACAAGGACACCATGTGGAAAACGGAGCTAAAACACATGAACCCGCACACGGGCATGCCAGCTCTGACGGAGCATGTTCTCAGGTAGAACATAAGTGCTCGCTGCTTTTCAACAGGGCAGAAATATATCTTTTCCTGTTATGTTTATTAGTTCTACACAAGCATTTTTCATTACTTGCGTAATGTGTATTTTATATTACCGAGAATTGCAGTAGACCATATAAGTAATTGAGCCCTTTATCAAAACCAAAAATATATGAATGCATCAAAATATCAACCGAAGAGACATTTGTTTAAAAAGAAAAAACAATGCATTTAAAGCAAAGCATTTATGAAACCATTTATATTATTCAAAATTGAGTAGAGATCAATATACATTTTTTTTCCTGACTGATAAAAATGATTTTTATATTTGTGTTTTATGTTTGTCCGATAACAAATATAAATAACCAATTTGAAAAACAAATTGTGATAGAAATACTGAAATAAAACTATTACAATATTAAATAATCATTATTTTATCCTTGAAACATATAAAAACATATTGTGAGATATGTTAAATATTATAATTTTATGAGTAATTACAAAAAAATATATTTTTTATACATACAGGTACATGCTACTTTATTTCTGCAGAGTGGTTTTATGATCCAAAAGGTCAAACATTTCATTTAATTAATTCCCGTTTATTTATTTCCTTTGTTTTGAAATGTCTTATACAGCATAGCAAGACATTGTTTTAGAATATGTCTCGCTATGCTATATTACTCATGCTATGATATGCGAGACATTTTGTGACCAGTAAATAACTTTGAATTTAAATCAAATAGCAACACTTACAGGATTTGCAAAATAGGTGGGTGAATACAAGTAAAAAAATTAGTCTAACCAATTATGAGTCTATCTATAACATTTAAATGAAGAGTTAAACAAAAATGATAAAAATTTGCTGAAAATTTGTTCACCCTCAGTCCATCCAAGATGTAGATGAGTTTGTTTCTTTATCAGAGCAGATTTTGAGAACTTTAGCATTAGATCACTTGCTCGCCAATGGATCTTCTGCAGTGAATGGGTGCCGTCGGAATGAGAGTCCAAACAGCTGCTAAAAACACACGACTCCAGTCCATCAGTTAACGTCTTGTGAAGTTAAAAGCTGCGTGTCTGTAAAAATCAAATACATCAGTGAGATCCATAATACTTCATCCAGTGATAAAGTCCATCCTCCCACATCAAAATCCACCAAGATATTTGTTCAGAATGGTGCATAATCTATGCACATTCCTCTCCTGAGGGTGAATACATTTTCAGAAAATGGGTGAACTATCCCTTTAAAGCATCTGGGTGCTTTCTGGCTGTCAAGTGCTTTTGTAACATGTCCATATTGAAAGTGAGGAAATACACCTGTGCTTGCTGTGTTTTACAGGAGGTTGCACATTCAGTGGGAGATCACACTCACAAATAGGCATGGACGGGAAAGTGTCTATGAGCAGACGCACACTTTCTTCGAAGATTCATCGGTTACAGTGTGCTGGAGCCAAGGTGCCTGGCCGTGCATGTACACTGTTAATAGCCTGCAGCTTCATGGAATAATGTGTCCAGCTTCACCAGCTCCAGGAGACAAGTAAGAAACATCGGAATAATCTGAAGCATAATACATACTCATCTGATTAATGCCTCTCATGTGCAGGCCAAGGTGGCGCTCTCTGATTCGCAAGACAGCTTTGCAAAGAACAGGACATTGTTCGTTCTTTGGTGCTGACAGGCTTGTGAAGGTGCTGCAGTTTGATAAAGGGATCATCGTCGGACTCTGGCGGGTATGTTGATATATTTAGCCAAGTTACATTAGGGATGCACAATACAGTATTTCACTTCTATATTGGTTATCGGTCAATATCGGAGTTGTATATGTGTGTGTATATTTATACCCTACCTTCTAATGTTATGGTGCCTAAATTCACTTGCAGCGTTTAAAATGATTGTTTTGTTTTTGTTTTTAGAAAAGATAGTGTAGAATTTTAATATCTGTCATTTATTTGTTATCAGCCATAACATGGAAATAGTAATCTAAATTACTTGATTGGTGTATCCGTAATATAAAACATTCCGATTTTTAAAAATATTAACTTTTTATATAGTTATTGAAAACATTATATATCCTGTCTATGTTTTTGTTTTTATGTTAATTTGTGGTGTTCGTAGGGCAATTGGAAAATTGCCTTCATCATGGTCAACCTGCACTTCCACAAACTGATTGAAAGAAGTCTTCTCGGGTCAAGATTTTGGTACAAAACACTTAATGGTTATTAATTTCTTTGATAAAGTTGATAACATGTCACACAGTCCCTTAACACAAAGTATGTTTGTTCACATCAATAGTCCCTACTTACCTGCAGATGACAATGCTGTGGACCTTGACTATAGCCGCCATGGATACACTCTGCACATCGTGCTTCACAATCCAGTTCAGCGAATCATGTGTCAGCGTTTTTCCCCACTGTACACCCGCAGAGGTAAATATATAACATTTTTGTAAACCCATTTTTACTTTTATTCGCCTCCGTAGTCTGGTTTTGAAGCAATTATGAGCAACTTTTTGATATTTAAATTATACGATGTGAATGATAGGAATGTTCTTGGGCTTCACAGTGATGTCGCAAGGGGAATTTGTGCAGTTAATCGCCATTGATTTCGCTAATGTATCCGAGCATGTGCCCGTGACGAAGTTCAGTCTTCCATGGCAAGCACAGGGATTGCAGGGAGAAGTTGAGGTACCTATGATTCATTCCTGATTCTTATGCTCATTGGCCACTTTATTTAGACTTCATTTCTCTCTGGAGTCAGTGCTGGCATGCTATTCTTAGGATACTGTCTATAAATAGATTGGTAGGTTTCACGCTGTGCGCAAATGGGGAACATAAACAAGGCCAAATACTGAAAGTCTGTAGTTAAATGCACTTTAAGTGCAGCTTTGAGTTGATAACTGGATTTACAACATGAAAATGTAGCAATGGCTGAAAATATGCTGCCACTGTTTATTGTGTGTTTTAGTTGGATATGCATGTCCTTAACTTGCTTCCTTTATCAAGGAATGATAAAAACAACAATGTTTACTTGCTCCACATATCCAGCGGTGCTGCATGATGACTCTGACGGTGCTGGATGAGGCTCAGCGTCCCTTCTGGTGTGTGAGTTCTACTGTAAAAATGTACAGGAGACAAAGAGTGCTGGACTTGGAGAACGAAGGTGAGCAGTTCATCGTCCTTTACGGGGATGCCGAGGGGAAGGTCAAAATGACCTTCGTGTGGATGGAAGAGTTTCAGCACTACTTTTTGGTGCAGTTAGTTACTATGTTCCCAACAGCCAAAGTGAAAAGGCACTTTAGTGGGGAATGTTGAAACTGTTGCAATGCCTAGCTGGTTTATGTTTAGAAAA